TAAAGTCTTGCCACGAATAGATTAGGAGATGTGTTCTGTATACTATTCGTTTCGAGTATTTCTTGAGACCACGCTCACTTTCTGCATGTCCGATAATTGTTTTGAGCCCTGCATGTGCTCTGATATGGGCAGTCATAGTGCAATACACGTGCTTCGGCCTTCCAGCCTCGTCAGCTGTGCGGTGCCTTACCTTTGCAAATGGCATGATATTACACGATTATCATCCAAAAAATGGTCTTTTCACTTAATGGTGCGTGTAAAAGGTACGGCACTGATTTCTTTTCAGCAGGCGATATCTCCACGCCGAACTGACTGGATCGTAGGGCACAGTGCAGCTGACGGGGCTGGAAAACCGAAACATATGTATTGATAAGTGCCCATAACAAACGAAATTCATAGCTCAAAAATAATTATCAGACATATTTGCGTACTGTTCCAAAGCTCTACATCTTTGAGCGTTTCAACTGATGCTCACTGAAAAAAAAGTAGATTACTTTTTATCATCACTTGAGAGGTAGATTTCTCCGTTAAATATTTCTTGAATGTTATTTTCGTTCCTCTTAACTCACCTTACTCGAGTAAACTATGTAATACTTCAATGGACAGGAGTAGTGGAGAAGTTGGTAATGGAACCACTCTCATTTCGGAATGAAGTAATAATCTACGTGGTTTTAAGGTATTTTCAGATAACCGGTTTTTTTTTTTGAAAACATTAAACGCCTCCCAAATTCCTAGCTGTAACATGCCAGCGTCTAGTTTTTCTAGTGGTGTGAAAACCAACTTTTTTTTATGGTATTTGCACTGAATGCTTGATGTTGGTGAGTGAACAACGAATATGGGCAATTAGGTCGTCACTTGTTCAGTTGAATTGATCTTGATAGACAAACTTTGAAATAATGAAAACGTAAACACTGCCAGTTCTCCTGCTACCGCAACCATTGAGAAACAGTACTTCTGCGGTGTCATAAACGAAGCAAATTAATGGCATTACTTTACCCATTTTGCCTGAATGAACAATGTTCCATGGAGGAATCAAGTGCAATCAAATATGCGTTATATGTAAAGATTCCCATCTTAGTCCAGTGTATTTGGGCAGATTAGATTGGCACCTAGATCAAATCCTTTCTGAACGTTTGTTGATCGATTTCGCACGCGCCGTGCGACTTTCATAATTTGTGAAGAACTCTTATTCTTGTTGGTACAGCGCACTATTGAAACCTTTTCAAAAATAGAGCATAATTTCGAAAGTGCCGAAAATTGCACTATCGAACAAATATTATGATGATCTAATGAATAACCACCAAGAGAACTTAGCTGTGCACAAAGCACTCCGAGGGTGAAACACGATTTTATTCTAACTGCTAGCCTACCTAAAAAAGCTCTTTCACAAACCAAGCTTAGTCTTGAAGTTGCTGCGATTCAAGCTTTCGAATCATGTCAGAAATATTAGTGAAGACGCTTCGTCCAGTGCAAGAAACCTTTGAAAATTAGCGTATTAGAAACAACCTTAATCGTTAGGAAAGAGTTAGATATCTTTACGCACTGGTCCTAACTGAGCGCATTACGGTTAAAACATTGGTCCTTCTTTTTGTGATTATAGAAAAGCCTGCGATACGGCGGCGTTCAAGTTCGGAAAATGAAAGCCACACTCGGGAGCAGCGCCGATCTCTCTGGGAAGGATATAGAATAGCATATTCAACACAGCAGACTCCTAACCGCCTATAAACATACTTCTCAGTCACATGTTTGCAGGATTCTAGCTAATTTAGCCAATCTTTATAAATTATATAGAGGAGAGAGGGCCGTAGCCGAGTGTTGTGAAAATCGCCGGGTGCGGGGCTGATCCTTTTCTAACACTATAAAAAGGATATAAAATAAAGCTATCCGCGTTGATCAATACCTGAGGGATGCGCCATGCACTCGTCTTCAATTTTTACTGCGCTCGAAATTATTGAATGCATATCTGGCTTTTACGATGACTCGCGCTGTATCGAGCAGTGCTGCTTATCCCCCCAGACAAATCTGAGAGCAGTCTAGTACCAATTTAGCGGCCCCGGATGGATGGATGCTTTGGTAAGCTATGAGCGCGAGACAAAACCAACGACCTTGTGTGCGACGCAGAGCAGCTCCAACCACTGTGCCACACTCGCTCCAACGTAGTGCCAAACTATTTTGAGATTTTAAGGAGGAGAGCTTATAATCAGTATATCACAGCATTCAAGGAGATAACGGAAAAAGAATTGAATGCTGAAATGCTGAGTTATGCACAGTGGGAAAAGGAAAACAGTGAGACGGATCGAATACAGTTAGAGTTAAGTTTACAAATTATATAAAAGTCGCCAACTAAAATATCAAACTTTCATAACAGCATCATCACCCACGCGAAGAGGAAAAGATTCGACTCGGTGATGTCATCATGCCAAAATTGTTTACAGTTCTTTTTAAGAACGTCATGTAAACACTGAAGTGAGCTAATACTACGTTGAAATTCAATTGCTAAGATTTTTACAATCTTCCCTTCGTTTAGGACACCGTTCTCATGGTAATGAGCATCAGTCAAGCGATAGTGATGTTAACTTTACGACAACACCTTCAGAAACATCAGAAAATATTGTAAATGAATTTCACAAAACGGCTTTTATGAGAAACGAGTTGGTTTCAAATACTTATTCACGCTTAACGAAATTCATATCCGGGAGCTTCAGTTAAGTTTATCTAAGCCGGAAGGTCAATATGATGAATAATTCAGCTGGTTTGTTAAGCAAAAGAAAGCTAGCGGTTTGGGAAGCGTCTGAGAGCATTGCGGTTGCAGTGGAAATAACGTAGAGCACGCGACTTTCTTTCTGCTCACTTTTCCGACTCTGCGATTGTCTCTGCCTTGACATTTACTGATAAACAAATATTACTAGACCAGGTCACCACGTAAGTAGGATGAAAGACCTCTCAAGGATACTGAAGATGCAGCCATAAGGTTGATTTTAGAAGTGTTCCTTATTTTGACTTTGGGAGAAAAGTCAATTCTTCGACTTCTGCTATTGGCCTAGAATTAGAAACCCTCTTCCTTAGACCATGCCGCTAAAAATCATGTGTGCCTTAAGCGCATGCTTCAAAGTCGACCAATTAGCAAGAGCATTCTTTATAGAATCCCTATCCTGTAGACTATGTCATTAAGAATCATGTGTGTCGGACGCGTTCAAAGGCGACCAGTTAGCAAGAGCACTTAGCGACCGGATTCCTCAAAATACCGAACATACATCAGAATGTCTACATCTTATGCTCTGTTGTCGCCACAAAAAGCCCATAAAAAAGGATATGATGCTCAAGGAGTCCCTACAATCAAAAAACCCCATCTTATGACTCGTGCACGCAGCAGAGAAAAATGAAATTCTCAAAGGTTTCCGTTCGATTCATTCTACGATTAGCAGGAGGATTCGCACAAACTAGCTCTCGGAACTTCTCTGACTCAGCACAGTGCTTTCCTGAAAGCGTAGGAAAGATCTGTAGCATAACAGATCTTGTCCAGCAATCACTTAGAACGACACAGAACGTCTAAACACGGAAATACTTAACGCGGAACTGTTACAACACGGAACTGTCTATTCAGCTAAAACCACCGTCTGAACATCACGGACGACGATTTTCAACTTATTCTTTCAGAACAAAATAGAATTTGTCACTTTCCATTTCTGAGAATTGTCCATAATATTTCTAGGATCAGAGGAACTTGTGCATTGAGACACTCACTACTGAAGTAGGACTACCACGGTGAAATAAATGTTTACTAGAGCACTTGCCAATTCATTGTAGGTGCGGTTGTTTGTGGAGACTTCTTCAAAGTGAGTCCATTCCATTGTATGCTGCGTAGCATTTTGAGAAGTGGAGAACGAGTGCTACCATTACCTAGTGAACAAAATGTCGAAACTAAATTAAATGTAGCTTGCTATTCCTGTGAGTTAAAAAAATATTCACATCAAAGATATGCTTTGGTAATTCAAAATACGGAATATGTCGTTTTGCTCGCCTATCACAGGAAATCAACTATTTACACCTCTCAGATGATTTTCTTAATATATTCACAGAATTGCGACGGATCACCAACTAAGTTGTAACCGCTACGCAAACGAATGACACTTCACTATACGAATTATACAATGAAGTTTTGTTGTGTCTGCACGTCGCGAAAATGACGCAAGAAATGTTGGCGTTCCATCGACATTCACCATGAGACTCACAATCATCTCACACGCAGTCTTAACAAACACAGTTTTCCTAAACATCTAGATATATCAAAAATTTTATCAAAATGTAGAATTTCTGTGTCTCACGGCAAATTGTGACGCCATAGTGCAGGCATTTTGCCACGACAAATCGAATAATTTCTCTTCTGCCCCCTTGTATTGGCGGATTCTTGGTCCGATTTCATTCCTCGTCGTGTCTCTGAGTTACTCAGTAAAATTTCGTAGTTCTTTGTCGCGATTTGTGCCTCTAACATGTTGCCAAAGGCATTTCATAGCGAATGTTTAATTTCCTTTTGTCAATCGATGTCTTTCTTACAGATTTTGAACAAATCGTACTTGTAATTAGCTTGTTTTGTAGGTTGTAAATTTTTATTCTTGGAATAGCCATAATTATATGTCGCAACATTGCAAATGAGATGGTGAAAGTTCAATTTAAACCGGGGCACCTGAGAGCTTGACGTACTCATTTAAATTTCCTCTTACGTTATTTCCTTCACGTACCTTGTTCTTTTTGAGAGCTTAATATAAACTTTACTTCACTGGGACATTTTTGCCTGCGTCAGAAAACCTCTATGAAAATCTGTTTCAAAGAATTTTTTTCTGAATTAGGCAGGTTGGGATCCCCCTTAAACTCTTGGAAAAGTACAAGACGTCCGACACCAACGTCATCCACGTATAAGTACTGAATGCCAACCCGCTGCTGTCTCGTGAGCGTTTCATCTTAGTATAGACTTAATAATGTAGAGTGGTGTGCAAAACATTTGCGTCAACAGGGATTCGAACCCAGATCTCATTCTTTTTCCGGGAACGCGTGCTGAGCAGTTGCACTATCGGCGCTCGTTTTGCACACCGCTCTTTCTACGCTACAACGCGTTATATGTCAACATCTAACCGTCAACGGTCTGGCGGCACAGCCACTATCGGCACTGAACCCACTAGAGTGGCATCTGGGCTCGAATCCTGGCTGACGCAAGTGTTTTTGCACACCACTATACATTATTGGGTTTATTGTAAGACCGTACCACCGCAGGAGGCGGTCGAATAAATGAATTCCGAATGATTAGCTTAGACTGTTTTCTCAGACATTTAGGAGACTGAATGAGAATTCTTACTAACTCCACCAGACTTCCTATAGATCACGTCATAATTACTTTCCTAGCTGCAATCACGGTGGTGTTTGGATGAGGAGTGACGCCTACAGGTAAACAAAGGTAAGGTGAACAGAAGATTGTATGCACTTGACATATTTTAAGTCCTACAAGGGAGGCTAGGAACTTTAATAAGAATGTATTTATCTAATTCATGTTTGTTGTTTGAGAGCTATTTCACTCCGAGGCCATCGATAAAAGTGCTTTGATTCTTGGATGAAAATATAAGCAAAACCTCAGAAACTATTCATATCGTAGTCTAGGTTTTAACTAATAACTACAAAAACCACGAAGTTTTGTTGCAGGGACCACTCGGACTTCTAATGTCACTGGCTTCACAACACTACCTGTCGCCATGGTTTACACTAAAAAGCCCGAAGTTTTTGCTCAAGTTGCTGGCATTTCAACTAGCAAGCGGCAAGCTCAGACATTTGTAGAACAGCTTGTAATGGATACGGTAAGTTAGTTACTTTTGATTAAAACTATTATTCGTTGCAAATATTGAGAAAACACAGCACACGATCCGTTATTTTGCAGCAATGCTTCAACCACTCACTTTAACCATACCCTGAATCTCTTCTAACAAGATGGACAGAAGCAATATCAGGCAAGCTCTATCAACAAGTGAATTACTTTGTTTTGAGGTCATTGTTGTTCTTGAAAGCCAAGGACGTAGTGCACTCCTACCTGAAGAGGTAATCTCGGCCATCTTGCGTCAACTTACTGTTAACGTCATCTACGAACCACTGCCGTGCCAGAAAGTCTTCCTCAGTATAGCGGCTGGAAACAGAGATAGTGGGTTTTCTATTGAATATCTATTTGAGATCCAAGCAAAAATTCAATGCTTCATTCTATTTGACCCTACCCGCAATTTTTTCTCACCGCGTGAGTCCCAGTACTTCTAGCATTCGATCCGTTTCTCAACAAATGGCTGCTTGAGGATTTCATCTGCTTCACGAATGTCGCAAAGCTGATCGAGCAGATCTCATTGCAGTCTTAAAGGTAGTTACGATAGGGCGTCTTTGAGGCGATTAATGATCGATTGCCGAAGAGTGCTGGGGGATCGACCACCGCCAATCATACTAACCACTTGGACATCGCCCCCCCTCTCGCCTCCATTAGAAATTCAACAGAAATCACAAAATTAGAACCATGTTGATTGATTTTCGAATGACAAGCACTTTCGGTAAGATCAACGAAATTGTCCTGTAATCTGCAAACGACCATCATAGTGAAACTATTATTGAAACTTCCAAGATAGATTTTGATATAACGAGATTTTGATGAGTTTTTCTAAGATTGACATGATATTCGATGTGTCATCTAATAGTGTACAGTATTTTGAAGAAGAAAAGAAAATTAGTGTTCAAAATTCTTTTCGGCTATCTTGTTGTGATACAAGACGTTTTTCAAGGAATCATAGTTTCTTACAGTTGACGATAACAAAGAGAACTGCATCATTGCTGGTGGCAATACGGTGACAGGAATTTGCAGAAAAAGTGGTATTGTGATGGTGTGTGCGCCAGCTATGATGACTATAGCTGCCATTCCCCCACAGCACTTGTCAATTTCAGGAACTCTTTCGGTCTGAATCGCTTATTTTTTGTCTTCAACAACGTTTTGTAGAGAAATATACCCATGCAGACCACAAACATCATCATGGCTAATTGGTCGAGACAGATGTGGCAAAATGTAGTGAACAGAGCGGTTCGAATGTTGACATCGGGTTCGTTTGGAAGGCACTTCGCTACGGCATCGGCTACTGTCAGCTGGAACTGAAAATGGACTGTGATGTGTCTAAGACAAACATTTCTATTCGACCGATACTTGTTGTAGCAATAAACTGACAAACCACATGGGTGTTCATTAGTTAGAGTAACGAAGTAAATTACATCAAAGTGTGTATTTCGATGATTTTTCTTTCAGTGCCTTCTTGACGAGTAGCAGAGGAATTTGCAAATGATTAACCACAAGAAGAATATAACGTAACATTTTTACCGTTAGTAAAACTTCGAGATTATAGTATCTTCACTGCTTTTTTCGCAGTGTTATGATGTTACTTATATAACTAAGAGAACTGAGTGATGAACAAAAACGCGGCCTCACGCGGGAATGGAACCCACGTTTCATCCTATCCGGGGACGCGTGCCCTACCACTACATCTCTGAGGCATATTTACCCGACCACTCATTCTTCATCATCTCTATGTAGCTATCAGCCACCAACCTTCAACAGGTTTGGTCGGTTATGCGATTTTGCTTTATAAATCCCGTTAAGCTCCCCGTCCCCGGATAGGATGAAACGTGGGTTCGATTCTCGCCTGAGGCCGTGTTTTTGCTCACTAATCAATTCCCTTAGTTACATAGCGACTAGCTATTTACTTCGATTGCAAACATGGTTTCCTTTTTGCTCTAACACCGCTCTATATAGACGTTTCAAGAAGCAGTTTTATCAAATTTGTTCAGATTCGGCCTATCGAATGACTACTAGTAATCCAAGTATATTACTGAATTTGGTGTCATTGCTCTAAAGCCAAAACCATGAGAAGACCTAATGAAATGCGAAACATGTAATGTCACAGCTGAATAAATCTTCTTTTTTTGGAAAGATGTGTTTTTTCATTGAAATACAAGAGAATTCCCATTACATGCGCGTTGTGTTTGTTAAAATAATGAAGCCTATCGATGCCTTTATAATGATGTCTCATTATTCCATAGTGAAGATTTTGTTTTAGAACGTCATTTATCACATAAGTTCCCATCGCAAGGTTCAATATGTGTTTAGGAAACTGAATCCTTGATTGAAACCCGATTATACAGCAATCAATTGCGAGAAGTCACTGACCACAGAAGTAAAAGTTGAAGTCTGAAGAAGAATCGAGATGAAATTTTTACTCACAGCGTACAAAATAAGCGCAAGTAGCATTGTGTGAAGAGGTGCACATCATTAAGCACTCGTAGTCCGCTCAGCGCCACGCGCTTGGCAAGTCTTTCATCGCTCCGGGTCACCAAATGGGTATCACTTCCCTTTGAGAGGAGAGCAAGAGTTCAGATATATCATAAATCACCTCCAATCATTGTTAAAGGCTGCTATGCATTCAGCCATCTCTGACTTCTGTACGGAATCAGCGAAATACAAATTCCAGCAGAGATAGAGTTTGGTCACTACATAATTCAAGTGGAGATTACAGGGAAGGAGATCACATGGACTCGTAATGCACCACACCCTTCAAAACATCAGTCTTATGTACTGGTTCATATCGCGACTGATTAGGAGACATTTTTCACTATGATTTTTAGTTCATTCATCGTGTAAATTTCTACCAACCGCTTCTTAAATCTTTTGTTATGATGTTATATGTTCCTGCGTAAGGATGGTGACTTCTCCGTCAAAATTTACTCCGCTATGCGTCTGCTACCTATGCGTGCCGAGCGGAGCGTTTCAGTTTGCAGATACTTTTGTCAGATAGGTGTTTCTCCAAGCGGATCCGAGTGGCCTATCCGTTTTGCCAATGTGTTTTTCGTCAGCTCTGCAAGAGACAAGTTGTGCCTACACTGATGAAATCACCTGCGTTTGGGTATATTTGGCATTGTTTCGTTGTACTGTGACGGTCATATAAGCGGTTCTGAACTAGTTGGTCCCTCAGAGTATTCAGTAAAATTTCAGTGACCGTCACCTCTCTGAACCTGTTTTTTTCAGACAACTTTTATAACTGTATACCTCATTTGATAAGATAGGTGCATTACGAGCCTATGTGACTTCCCTCCGGTGATCTCGACTTGAATCATTCAGTAGAAGACATATAAAAAGCGGTGATTACCATGAAAGTTAATTTTGTCCTTGATGTTATTGAAATCTGTGTATGGTGAGTTTTTCCAAAATAATGGAGGTGTTCGATTGATTTGATCATGGACAACCTGATCTTTCAAGGCTCTCAAGAGAGGCGAGTGCCGAAACGTCAGCTGCTTGAATAAACGTTATTGGGTACTTTACCTTCCACACCGAGTGTTTTATTAGAACGACGCTCAAATTTCAATATATCTCGTGATTATTATTTGGGTCAGCATGTCATTTGGTCTGCTAATAGACTTGTGCAGCCCGATACACCTGTTTCGACCTTAAATTCTCGTTAGTCGGGCAAAACCCTTCGTCTTCAGCCAATCCTATTGGGAATTCCCGCTCTCCCTACAAAGAGGTGAGAGAGGCGAATGACTTACACAATCGCCGTGTAGTAAGAAAAAATTATAATTCGGTAAATTTCGACACTTGATTCTCCCGGCTGATATTTTTCTAATATTATAAGAAGGATTTCGCTCGACTGAAGAGACTATCAAGGTCGAAACACATGTATCGATTGTACAAGAGCCTCATTCACAGATCACATGACATGTTGGCTCAAATAATAATCATGATTATTTTGAAATTTCAGCGTCGTTTTAATGAAACACTCGAAGTAAAAGGTACAATATTATCAAAATACCAGCCAGGAGCAATGGTTGTCGAAATTGGCTGATTGCGTGATTTTTCACTTAACGGTGATTGTGTAAATCGTTCGCCGTCGCCTCACCACTTTATATGGTGGCAGAGGAGAGGACTGACTAGAGGTGAAAGGTTCTGCCCAACTGAGTAGACTGTAGGTCGAAACATCTGTACTGGGTTGTACAAGACCGCATGACATGTTGACTCAAA